AGAAACCAGGTAACCTTGCCTGCGGTATATTCTCTCCATGTGCCTTTTTAGCTTATTATATTTAGACGAGAGCATTAATGTGTGTCTGTGTGTGTGTGTGCGCGCGCAGGGCTGTGGATGAGTACAATCCATATGCTGAGACCCAGAAGAGAAGACAGCTCTTCAGGTAGGGCTCTGTCTGCACCGATTTCACCGATGTCATTTATCATCTTAATCTGGTCAGCCTGGCTGCAACAGAGCTCGTTTAGAGTCTGCAGCGGAAACAGAAAGACTAACTAGATTTGCTTGTTTGTTTTTTGTATCAGGGTTTAGGAAGCTAAAATCTTTTTTTTATGTCAGTGAATGTAACATACATGGCAGGCCTGTCATGCAGTAATAAGGTTTTAGGATAATTCTGTATGTGCCTCACAGGGGGAGCCGTGACAGCTCAGGCTCCAGCTGGACAGGCAGCAGCAGGCAGAGTAGCACCGAGACTGACTGTTGCTATAGCAACGACCCCCGACCTTGGAGCAGCACAGACTCTGATTCCTCCTACCAGTGGACAAGTTCCGCCCCAAAACCCCGCCAACCTGTCAACCACAGCTGGGACGCACGTGGTTCAGGTGTGTGCGTCTGAACGTTTGGTGACTTTCACCAACACTTTGGTGTCACGCCTTTTTTAAAGGTGTAAATTCAGTCACTGAGGGTGAGACCCTTCACTCCTCGCTACCTGTGTGCAAGCAAACTTCTTCGCAGCTCTCATCACCACGCCACACTTGGGAAAAATCACTGTTTATAAATGATGTAGCATCTAATTAACAAAAAAGCAGTGGAAGTTCTTGTGCTGTGAAAATGCATGAATCTTCACACCAGAGCTGTAAATTTTCACACAACACCTCCAGTCGTCGTCGCATATTCTGGAAGAAAATTACGTCAATGCAGAGACTGTGGGGGCTCCAGTATGTTTTAGCACAGGAAGGGGTGGCGCGTGTACTCTTTTTAGATCATATTAAGATGTTGCAGTGTGACTTTGTTACATGCCATGATAATAACACTCTTTTCTTCTTCATTTTCTTATCTCCACTCTTCCACTTGTCATTCTCTCTCTTTTAGGCTCCATCTCTCTCTTCAGACTGCCATCCACTTGTCCCCACCCCTCTCCTCCTCCCGTCATAGATGAGCCGGCTCCTAACTCTGGCTACGTCATGGAGAACGGGATCCCGCCGGGAAGTATATTAGTGAACCCACATACTGGTACATAACACACACACACACATACACACACACACACACTAGTAAGGTTACATACATCTTTATGGCATGTTTGTCATACTCAACCCTTTGACCTCTCAGGGCAGCCTTTCCTGAACCCTGATGGAACCCCTGCTGTGTACAACCCTCCGGACAGTCAGCAGCCAATCAGGCGCCAGACCCAGCTGCAAGGCTCTCCCTCTCAGCACCAACAGCAGCAGGTAGTGAACACACACAGCAGAAATATGTTTGACATACACGACTGACATACATGCACACACACGTCGCTGTTTGTGTTTGTGTCTTTATCTATGTCTCCATGTGTGTGTCTCTCTCAGGTGGTTCATCACTCGTCTGTCTCTTACACAGCTCCACAGATGTTGCCTGTCGTTCCCTCACAGCCATACGTATGTACCACTGTGAAGTCGACAGACAACCGCTGCACACACGTGTGTTTACAGTGTGTGTGTGTGTGTGTGTGTGTGTGTGTTTATGGGCGTCCACATGCGTGTTGACCTCCTCTTCCTCTTTACCGACAGATTGAAGACCTCTCCTCGCAGTTCACTCACATGAGCTGTCAGTCGACAGGGGAAGCCCCGCCGCTCTACCCTTCCAGTCAGGGTTACATCTATGCAGCTCCTCCCCCTCCTCCTCCCCCTCCTCCCCCCCCTCTCAACCCCCCCAGCTACTGCCAGCCCTCACCTCAGGTACAGATACACATGCTGTTTATTTTTTCATGTCCCTTTTGTAATTAAGTACATGAAACAGTGTTTTTACGGTCATGTAACATATATTAAAAACATGTTGTTTTATTAAAATAAAGTAAAAATTCTGCATTGATTAACTTAAATTCTGGTTATATTTATAATTTATTGAATTTTCAACATTGATTTTGTTTTTATGGAATAGTTGAAGCAAAATAGTAAGAATAAAGCTAGTATTTTTCATATTATTTTTCTCTAGGTGCCTATGTATTACTACAGCCAGTACCCTACCTCAGCTCAACACCCATGCAGGCCTGTCTCACCTAGCCAGCACATCCACAGCCAAGCAGCGCAACCAACAGGTACTTCCCACTTGTGTGTCTATGTGTGTTTGTGTGTGTGTGTGTGGGGGGGGGCAAGACTGTGGCAGTAGAGGAGGGGGCCGTTACACTGTCAGAGATGTAGTCTGTGGGTCTCACAGTGAACCGGTCTCTTTTCCTGCTGCTTCTATCCAACGCAGTGACAGTGACCGAGGAGACGCACATTTCAACACTGTCATGTATTAGAATTTAGTGTATCTTGATGAGCACATGCATTTGAAACAGCTGCAATCCACCAGGCCATGCCTTCTGGGCATCAGTGGCCATCACTGCAACTATATAACTTCTACATGATTTTTATCTCTTTAAGTTAAAATAAGTAGTAATAAAAACTGAAATCAGCCAGAAAAGAATGAATCAGTGTCAAACAGAGATTACTGCAATACCATATTCTTTCAAATTCAACCAGCTACTCAGTCAAGGCAATATATGTGTAAAATATTTTGTTGGGTGGACACATTTTTAACTTTATTAATCAACAAACTCCATCATGGCTTATTTCTTAAATGAACCTTTAGCTCAACAAATCGCGGTGATGAAATATATCGCTAATAATGTCTTGTATACGTATACGTGTGTGTGTGTCTGCAGCAGGTTACGCTTCTGCTGTGGGGGTGCAGCAGTCTTCACACGTCCAGGCCCAGGCTGTCCTGGGAACCTACTCACCAATGGCCTCTCATCAGCGTAGCATGGTTCAGGTAAACACAGAGCACCCAAAGGTCTCGTTCTGCATCAGCCTCCAACAAGTCAGCCCCCAAAAGGAGCGTTTAGCAGCTCAGGAAGTGCTTATTCTTCGCTCCAACTTTACTTTTCTTTTCCTCTTGCTCTCTGCAGGGAGGTGTTTCAGTGTCATATCCTCAAAGTAAAGTTGTGACCGCGGTTGGCGGGGAGGCGGGTTACTGCTGCATGGTGCCCCCACCTTCCCACCATGGCAGCTGCCATCCTCCCAGCTGCACCAACCTCAGCGCCCCAGCCTGGAGCGCCCAGTACTGATGAAGCCTCGACGGATTAAGTGATGATACTGTAGTTCCTGTGTGAACACTCATAACACACAAACTTTTTTTCACACTCCCTCAACCCCTTCACCTACACCCACCTTCTTCCCGGCGATGCCCGCGCACACAAGCATGTGCACACGCACACAACATACACCCACTCACATACATTAATGTACCACTGTACCAAAGCTTAATAGTATATATCAGAGCTGCTGTATTGAATGCATAATTTATATACACAAATGGAGTTTTATATTGATATTAAATTATATATTGTGTTTTATGGAAATGCACTGTGTGAATAGAATAAAGTGCTGTGGCTGGATTGACAATGTCACATTTCTATATTATCCTGGCTCTGTTTCTTCTCATGTTGATGATGATGCTAACGAAAGTGGGTGCAGGCATGGTGAGATGCATACGCTGGGAAATAAAGTACATTATTGGAGGATATACTTTCATGATGTGTGCGCCTGCAGGGAAGTAGGGATATGGGTTGTTAACCTACCACTGAGTTCATAAAAGGGCGATGAATGTCATTGACTTAATGTCTAAATAAGTAACAAGCAAGTGAAAGATTTTGCCTTAGCATGGTGGATCATTAAGGACGTTTAGCTTTTTAGGAAATCTTGGTGTTATTAGGAGACTGAGATGCTCACACAGTGGGCGTTTTCATACAGTCATTTGAGAAGCAATGTTTTCACACTTACATAAACAAGTCAATGTGGCAAATTATATAAATAGCAGGGACCATATTCCATCGAACCACTGATGGATTCTCACTGTTAACACTTTACCCCCCTCCTGCTTAAAGACTTAGTACACTGTCCTCACATGCAAAGTAATACAGGTTATTTTACCATTTGTTAATTCTTTCTATCAAGGGCTGCAAATAACAGTTGTTTCCATTACTGATTTATGTCCCCAATATTCTCACAATTGAGTTTTGGTTTAATATCACAGGAGACAAAGCACATTCAGCAAGCAATCATCCAGCAAATTAACACTTTTGAGCTGCTGGAATTAGTGAAATCTTGTCACATTTATTTGAAACAACTGATTTCATGTTGATTGACTAATTATCCTTTTGACTCAAATTTCTACCCACTGGAAAATTATATACCTTCAATAACCCTGAGCAGACATTTGGACTTGTCATAGTCAGAAAAAGCACAGGTTTTACTAATGATATTAACGATGGCTGTGTCCCAATAAGCCATGAGGGCACAGTGAGCCAGCATGCTAATAGCAGGAGTCTGAAACCGGAGCAGCTATATAGAATTCAGCCATCATTAATTTGATTATTTACACCTGTGCATTCCCCACTGTGACACGTCAAAAAGTCTACTCAATAATACAGATTAATATCCAATTAAGTACAGCATAAAGCTAAAGTAGTCTTTAGACATACAGAACCATAATATAATATGCATTCCTTTTTAAGCCTTCAGGCAGCCGCCATTTTACACGACTGCGATATACCTACTTTCACTTCCCTGTAAGCAATAACTGATAAGTCAATGTATCTTTTTGTTCAGATGCTGGGTAATTCATTTTGTACTGAAAGTGATTCATTCTCCCCATCAGATTCAATGAAGCATATCCATCATCCACAGGAGGCTTTAAAATTAAATTTAGTTTCATTACTGCGGTATTAAATGCAAAATTTATACAGACCAACGGTTTCACAGAGCCGGCTCTATTTTTGTCCTTTCTACACACTCTCTCTCTCTCACACACACACACACACACACACGGGCAGCAGCGCAGGTTCCATGATCTTTAATAAAAGGCACATGTACAGCCATAGTGAGATGAGTGAGTCCACTGGCATAGAGACGAAGCATTAAAACACAGAAATACAGGAAGTAGAGGTCAGGAGGAGAGAGATCTATCTGCTTTACAGTAGAATCTACTTAAGTAACATCTTCTCGTTCAAGTAAGTCTAACACTAATATGTCACCGTGGTACGTAACCCCCCCCTTAAACAAACACACACACACACACACACACCATCCATCCATCACCAGCCCAAAGTCTGATCTTCCAGAAAGGTCTCCTCCAGAGGGCCACTGAGCTCCGAGCAGACGAAGAAGTCCAGATCGTCCTGAGACTCTGTGCTCATCGTTTTCGGTCACGTCCTCCCCTCCTTGCTGTTGTTGACTCAGAAATCAGCTGTGGGCCTCCAAGTTCATCCATCAAGTACAGTGCACACAGCTCAGGCTACAGGGGCACCCAGAATGTAAACGCCCAGGTTCCCTGTGTGTCAGTTAGCTAGTGGTAGTTTGATGATGCACCACTTACCAAAGAAAAAAACTTCAAAACTGGGGATTTTTTTTTACTGTTATTTAGAGAAACATTTAATTTATTTTGATCAAATTTGTGTCAAAAAAAAGTATTTAGTCTTTCTAACATGGTGGCTGGGAATGAAATACCCAGTGATTGTGAGAGATATTACTACTACAGCCCAGCCGATACTGGATATTTTGGGGGGTGATACCAGTAATGGTATTTGGGACATTTAAACATCACATAATTTCAATTAATTAAAAATGATGTTGTTTTACATTAACACAAGATAAACAAGCACTCTCGTCATGGATCCCAGAGTTTTCTTTTTAAGAATTGTGACCAAGATGCATACTGAGCGGGGCATTTTTACAGTTGAAAAATCCTCTTGTCAGTGCTCTCTGGTGGACAAACTATGAAGTGGTAGCAGTTTCCTCAAACCCAGTTTGGTATTTCTGTACTGCAATTTTATTTCAACTTACTGGCCAACACATACACTCACACAGATACAGCTGCAATAAGCTAACATCGGCCTGGCTGATTTATCTAATTACTACTTTGAAATAAAGATTGTCTATGAACAAATTTAACTGTTAAATAAGCAAAAATTAGGAACCATATAAGCATGATATTAAGTAAAATGATAATTAGATCTACATTAGGTAATTATGCAGGAACCAGTTCTTATTGTACTTAATTCCCAAACAAATTTGAAAAATGATGAAATTAGCAAAAAGCAAGTGACACACAGTGAGCCTGGGGGCTTTTGGGGCCCCTGAAGGTCTGTTGGTAATCCAGCCTTGCCAGCCATGTCCTCGAGGACTGCACTGTTTTTCCCATTTTTCCCCTTGTTCACACGAATCTCACAGTTATGATCTGTCTACACTCTCACACACACACACACGCACACGCAGCCAGTCACACGCTAAAACCCAACTAAAAAGAAAAACGTTCACAGGTACTTAAATATTTAGGGTTAAGAGAAATAAAAATGGTATTAGTGTTGAAGGTTAAATATAACCACAGCTCAAGGAATAGAAGGTCAAAGAACTAAAATATGCATGCAGCCAGGCCATCTCTCCTCTTGTTGAAAGGTAAAAGGGGGTCAATGGAGGGGGGACGTCTTTCGTCTGTTCTGGCAAAGTTTGGACACTTTTTGCCATAACAGAAAGAAATCGTTGACTAGACTCAGGCATGAGGTGTGTAGAGGGAAAAGGGACAAACACGCACGCACGCACGCACGCACGCACACACACACACACACACACACACACACACACACACACCTACACATCCATTCACATGTCCGAAAGAGCAGCTCAGTAGAGTCTATCACTCTATTTTCACATTATCACATGTCTTTGGGACATTGCAACATAAAAGCAGAGTTTGGGCCACACTCCAGGGTCCATCACTTTACTCTCTAATCACACGCACACAACAAATGCACCCCGCAAATTCTGCTTTGGTCGGTGTGTGTGCTACCTTTGGCTGCGGGTGTTGGGGGTGAAAGGTCAGACACAACCTGACCTCAGAGAGCCTCCACAGGTACACACCAACCGTCCCCGAACCTCCTGCCTCACCATTTCACACCCCCACCTGTGCCTTTGCAGGTTTCACCCCACCCCTCCATCCCATAACAATGCCCACCCATCTCCATACCAACTCACAGCTCCCCGAGCAACGGGTCTCACTATCTTGTAAAAGGAGGTAAGTGTAATTAGTGGCGTGTGTGTTTGTATATGTGTGTGTGTGTGTGTGTGTGTGTGTGGAGGCGTGTGTAACCTGCGTGAATGTGTGTATCAGTGTGAGTAAGTATATGTGTGTATTTGTTTGTGTGTAGGTGTTAAGAGGTATCAGTGGTTCAGTGGTGTCTCTCTTTAATCTTCATCACTCCTCTCTCTCTCTCTCTCTCTCTCTCCCTCTGCCCCTCGTCATCCATCACCCCTCTTCCTCTTCTTCCTCCTCCTCCTCCTCCTCCTGTTCCCTCACTCTTTATTTTTGGACTTGGAAGATGAACAGGCGCAGGTTGATGTTTTTGGCGGCCAGCAGTTTGTTGCACTCCACTGAATCAGAGATGGGCAAAGGGACGTAGTCGGTCTCGTTGGCGTCGTTGCTGAAGGAGTGGTGGTGGATGACCGGCTTGATCCGCACGTCGTCATACGGCCCCTTTAGCAGCAGGAAGGAGCACTCCAGGGCAGAGTTCACCTGCACACACAGAAACACATCCATATGTTGCCAGGTTAGCCACTACATCTGCTGACTAGGGATGCACCAATCTGATCTTTACCCTCCCAATAACTGAATCATATACTGAAAGTGGAAATACTGACGTCGATGAAGAAACTGTATTTAAGGTCACATCTTTATGCCTGATTTACTTAATAAGGTCAGTATTTGTCCTGATACCGAGTGCATCTCTACTGCTGACAAGAGCCACGGCAAAACAAATATTAATGTTTGACTGATTAAAAAGATGATAACGATCAATTTTTTGCATAAACAATTTTGATCAGAATTCTGTCAATTGGGTTATTGGTGGACAAGCGAAGCGGTTTCTAAATGACCTCGAACACACAGCATCTTTGGGATTTCTTCCCAACTTATCAGCCGACAAATCAATGTATCTTTTTTATTTAGTATTATATAACAAGGTTATACGACGAAATGAAAGTTTGTAGTCTTGTCATGCTACACACATGTATACGCCAATATTAATATATCTGTGATAAGCTAAATATGACCCATAATCTCAGTCATGCAGATGTATTTGTCTACTTTGAACATACATCTATTGCATGTCCTCCTCCCCCTTTTCCTAAGGTTTTGTCCTTTTTTTGGTGATTTTTCATTATCTGAGACAAGGGTCTACACATAGAGGGCATCGTATCCTGTAAAGACCTGTAATTTTGACCAATACAAATAAAATTGACATGACAGTCATGTTAAGACAACAAAGATCACACAGAGACATTAAACTAACTTTTACTAACTTTTCTCAGCATTTTACTCAACTAAACATTAAGGCTGAGCTTAGGACCCAGCTGAAGGATGTCCAGCTGACCCTGATGTTTCAGGATGCAGCCACACTGATCTGTCTCTAAACAGACCGAAATGTATATTACTGCTGCTGTATTGTTCCTCAAGCATTGATGATCACTCTAACTCTCAGGCAACATGTAGCCTGTCCTAACTTTTTTGTTAAAACCAGATCTGGTGGAGAGCAAAGCATCATCGGCCCTCTAAACGAGCACACACTGAAGAACTTTAAAAATAAACACGGACGGAGAGCACTGTGTGTACCTTGCTTTTGAGGATGAGCTGGAAGGACAGGGTGCGCTTGCAGGACAGGTTGGGGTTGCGCTCAGAGTCGTTAACACGGGCCTTCAGCACCCACGTCTGGTTGAGAACAGTGAAGCGCGGTGTTTCATAGTACAGACGAGTGATGAAGTCATCAGTTCGGTATGGCCTGAACTGCACCTCTGGATGGACACATAAGTGGAAGTTTGAAGCAGGGAGAAATGCCATAAGTGGGAGGAAGAGAGTGGTAACAGTAACTTCTTTATAAGTTATATATATATTTGTTTATAGACAGATTTATCAGCACATTCTATTAGTCTTTCTGTTTTTTTTATTTTAGTTTTTTTTACCTGTAAAGCCAATCTTTTCGTAGCAGAGCAGGCTGAAGATGCCGTTATAGAGCTGCATGTCTCTGCGGTGGTTCTGGTCCATCTCTCCCAGTATCCCCATCAGCTCTGTCCCAGTCTTAGTGGGATGCGAGCACTCACTCTCGTGTGCTGGCAGCTCATGGAACGGACCTTGCCAAGGGCAGCCAATCCTCTTGTACTTACACTGTGTCACCCTGGCAACATAATGACCGATGTGAGTTGAAAGACTAACTCGAGGAAAGAAAAACACGGCTTTATAGAAATAGGATCCTTTACGGGAGTGCTTTGTGGTGAATATGCGGTACTTTCTTGCAGTGAGTAGAAGGTACTAATTAACCTAGGCTGTGAATGAAGGCTAATTAATACTGTACTAATGATACGTTTGTGCCGAGAACCAAGAAAAGAAAAACACGAATCAATTACATCCTGGATTAAGATGCTTTTCAATGAATATCTGCTACTTTCTTACAGTAACAGTGAGGTATTATTAATGTGAAGGGTACTAGTTAGTGTCTCTAGTATTTTATATAGTCTATGGTAGTGAATCAAGGATAATTAAAACCACAGGGACTTAAATCACATTACATTAACAGGAAAGTTTGGTCATATACATATTATGAAGTAGCTGGTAGGGGTTCAGCATTTTTCAGCATGATTCACTACTTACAGCTGTAATTACTGCATATTCAACAGTGAGTTTCATATTCAAATGTGTATCTAACCTAAAATAATACTGATGGCGTTCTTGAGAACACCACCATCATCTTTATGCACCAGCACATTTTCCCGTCTGACCTGACCACAAAACACCTGGTGACTGCCATGGCCGTTGTCATAGTAACACCAGCAGGGGTACCTCTGTCCTAAGCAGGGTCACACGTTGCTATAGCAACAACCCCCAAAGGATTTCATGTGTGCAAATTCACCCGGCCTGAGCGTCACACACAACAAGCGCGCAGCCTATAATCACATCAGCTGCTTTTCTTCTCCTCAGATGTAGCAGGTCACATGCTCCTCAATCTTTCCCAAATCAACCCCCGTGTTATGCTGTGCTGAGCAACCACATGGCGCACTAGGGCTGTGCGATATGACTAAAATCTCATATCCCGATATAGAACATTCTTTGTAAATTGAATGTATCATGAGTTACTGTTGGTATTTCCAACAATAACTCATATTTCCCTGCATCATAAAGGTGGGGTATGTGATTCTGGAGAAATCCAACACCAGGACAAATACCACGATATAGAGCGAACAACGACAAGCAAGTAATGTAACTAATGTTAGCTAAGTTGTGGGTTATCAGACTCTAGCTACTTGCTGCTGCTGCAAAGCTAACATGAGAGGAGGAGATGGTCCCAGAGCAGCACACCAGCAATACTCACAATTCTCCTGATGCTATAGCTAACAGCACGTCTTGGTGAACTACAAAGTAAGCAGAATGTCTGTAGGCAAGTACTTTAATGTTGCCTAACACGCTAATCATGGCTGGAACAGCTGGAAAAAGTGTTGTGTGGCTCATTCATACAACAGACTTCTCTCTTAGGTATGAGCTCCTCGTTTTTTTTTGCATGGCCTGAGTCCTCCTGGTCAGTATTACCCATTTCTGAGTGAACTTCACTTTTCCACATTGTTTATTCTGAATACAAATGTCTTCCCTGCTACATGGGCAAGTGTGGAGGAAAGTACAGCAGTGCAAAACGGCAAAATATTATGGTTAAGTGTGGGATTTGTGCCACAACAAAAAAAAACTATAGAGCATAATTGTAAACGACAGATGTTTTTCTATTGTCAAATAATATATATTGTCATATCGCATGGCCCTAGCGCACAACTAAGGATATATAATCATACTGGTGATTTAGTCAGTGTGTGTGTATGTTAGGTATTGTCCAGCTTTCATTTTCATGCCTCACTTCTTTGCAGCCTGACAGAGCCTGGACTAGCTTGATTAAAGTCTTTGTAGCTGCTTAATTTGGAAAATTTATGGGGAAACTGATTGGAGCAAATTTTGAGACGCTTTTCACACTTTCAGTAAAGTGTTGACAACAAATATGGTAAATTCATTATCTGGGGGAAGTGTTGTTGTGTATGTGAGTGTGGTGTGTGGTGTATACCTGTCTTGGCACTCCTCTTTCTGGTGTCGCTCTAAACTGGAGCGGGGGAACTGTTTTAGGCAGAATGTGCATTCTGTCGGCAGCTCACTGACAGCCTTCTCCACGGCAAGGTTCCTGCAGCACAGGTTCTTGCTGATCTCACACCTACACAAACACAAATCATTCCTCAGTGCAGTCGCACATAACATTTATGATATGTACAGAGTTTTCACGCGTACTTTGGGAACAATGCACAGCCATGAATAACTGGATAATTGAAAAGACTGTTGCACTTTCATCAGTTGTTGGTGGTAATTTCAACACATATGTTTGACATGAAAAAACAACTAAATAAAGTTAGTTGTTCCTGTGGCTTCGCATCAGTGATGTGAATGCATGATGTTGCAGTGTAAAACATTAACACAAGTTATGTGTTTCTACTGCTTGAGATTAATAATGGCCTGCAATGTGTATAAATTACAATAACTTTATTAACTTAAAGGGCCAGAGTGGCTTTTGGGTGCATCTTAGCAACACAGTCATGACTGCATGAAAGCTTTTCCTGCTGTTTGAAATCATCTTGCCTTAGGTCAATCAGACGTGTTCTCACTGATATTAGCTAGCATCACACACTCCCTGACTCTGACCTTGCAGAAAGAAAATCTACATTTAGAGGGGAAAGTATTTTGGATCAGTAACATACTATCTAAATCATTTGGCTGCTAAAGTAAGTAAGTAAGTAAAATTTATTTATACAGCACTTTTCACAGATAAAATCACAAGGTGCTTCACAATAAAACAACAAGTAATTATTTGTGGACAGTATAACAACATCAAAAATACGTGTATGACCAAAATATCACATTCAGATGCATCAATATTCATACACAATGACGTTCACAACCACCATGTGACTACAATCATTTCTATGTACACTGTGCTCATGTCTGCAGGGAGCTTGGTGTACCTGCAGTTGGGACACGTGGCCTGTTCCTCCTTGAGACGAGAATCAGCCAGGAGGTGGATAAAACAGCCTGCGCACATCAGGTGTCCATTGGTACACTGTGGTAGAAAAAAAGTTGAGGGGACTATCAAAGTGTATGAAGAATGTAGAACAAATCATTACTGTGGATGCTACGTGGGAAGAGGCACAGGGAAAGCTGCGAAAATATTTCAGACTAAGTTGGAAAACAGGAATTAGATAATCAGACTTTCTCTAGTCGAATGTTGTGACAAAAATATGAGCATATCTTGTTACAGGGGTTGTGATTGACTTACAGACCATTTAATAAGGACTGCTTTAATTAGATATTTTGGGGTTTAAGAGGAAATAGGGACTATTTTAGCACTATAAATACTCAAATCAAAACACATAATTTGGGGGAAATGTCATTTGACATTTTTGGCAAGGTGTATTTCCTTACAGTCTATTTTAATTTCGGATAGGTTCTAATAATGGTTTGGCTAAAGCCACCCAACAATAATAGAGTAACGGCAAAAAAAACCCTGCCTGCACCACTGGAAATATTACAGCAAGATTACAACCTGAAGAAGTGCTTTCATACAGGATCTGGTACTTTTCTGTGGAATACATGGATTATTTACTGGCTATGCTTCTCTTAATCAATGTGTATTTATATGCATCTATGTTATGGGAAGGATATTGTGTATGGAGATAATGTCAACTTGTGTTTACACAGTATTTTGGTAATAAATGTTAAATAACTGTTTAAAACATGTGTGTTGCGTGTTGCAGAAGGGCATGTACATGTTTAAAACTAATGATTAATTACAAATGTGTTCACTTGACATTGAAGTGAGCAGTTTGAGGTCATTAAGGGGAATGTTGGGGTGGGTTGAAGGGAAGGGCAAAAGGTGATTCAAATTTAGGTTTTGGTTGAGTGTGTGTTGGGGGGGTTGGGGACATGGCTTTTGCTGAGAGTGTTTATGTTAGGATAAATCACAGTAGAAACATGACCCTGCACAGATGACCACTCGGCCTGGGTGTGTCTGCTCTCTCAGCCTCATAGCTCAAACTGCATCATATAGACACTCGTGGCCTTTGTTGATCTAGTATCACTATGAATAGATGGAGATGGCCAACATATTCAACAGGTTGACTGTGGGGATGGGCGGTTGGGACACATGGGGAATTTCTAGTACGAGCTCCAGCTGGTTTGCTCTTGTTTGACGGGAGGTTTAGGGGTATGAGGGGAAGGTTTGTGATTGACACCACGTTTACCTGGTATACAGACGCCTTGGGCAAGTCTAGGCACACGGTGCAGCACAGCACTGAGTACAGTCTCTCCTCCAGCTTTCCTGACTCTCCCTCGGGAAGTCTCACCCTCTTCTTGGGTGGCTCGTCTTGGTCAGGCTCGGGCCCTTCTCTCCGCATCCCGACCTCCTCCTGCATGGCTACGACCCCGGCGACAGCCTCCACCGCTGCCCCCACGGCCCCGACCCCCAGGCCGGCCGAGGAGGAGCCAGGGGCGGCCGCAACGCCCACGTCTCTCTCTTCCAGTGAAGACATGGCGACGGCTGTCAAGAAATTTCTGAGATGTACCTGCCGCGACCGGGCAGAGCCCGAAATATTAGCAGGTTAGCTCAAGGCTAGCTTACAACCTGTCACGCTAACGGTCAGCTGACAGCTAGCTAACGGTAGCTAGGCTAACGCTACGGCAGCAGGCTGTCAGATAGGAATGCAGGCTAACTTATTATTATTAACGCTACCCTCCACCTAACAACTGGGAATTTAACAAGCCAATGATTGTGTAATAACGAGATCATGTGCAAAATGTAATTATGACTTCATTAAACGTTGACTAGTTTTGTTGACTTACAGTGATGCTAGCAGACTATGCGGCTAGCTACGTTGACAAAAACACAGCAGTCCTCTCCCTTTGCCCAGGCAGAACAAAAACAACTCAGGCGTCTCTCAGCTGTTGTTGTGCTCTCGACGCCGTTATTCGCAATGACAGCAGATTACAACGATGTGCACCAGCGGCCCAGCTCGGCTAACGTCCCTGCTCCGGTACCGGCTGACTGTCCACGGGACCTGTCGGTGGTTAAAGCCGCGGCTAGAGACAGTTCTGCTGGGACTCGTCTCTCTGGCTACACAGCCATCTTTGTTTTTTTCCTGTCCGTCTCCCCCGACTTCACCCTGCACAGCCTTTACGACTCCGGGTCAAATTCGTTATTACTAAAGCAGGTTCTCGATCGTGGCTAATAATAGAAGTTGCGTATTTAAAAGTAAATATTTTGCGTGTATCTGCAGCGGCCTCTGTGTACTAGTAACTACTTCGGTACAGCCGTGAATTGGCTGACAGCGGAATGTTTTATTGTGGCAGATGACTTGGGGTATTTAAAGAGTTTTTAAAGGCGCATGCGTAGTGAGCACCTGCGGGTCAGTGTATGGCAGGACTTGAAAGGTGACCAAAACCTGATATGCGACAAATGTAGGCCACCCCATCCACAGAGGACGCATCCTTTATACATTTGCAATGTTTATGAACCACATCCACATATTATGACACATTAATAGCACTGCCACTCATCTGACATCAAAAACTTTCAGCAAAAACATCCTGTTTCTGCTGCCATGTTTACTGCTCTGTGGCAGCAGTAGATCAAAGTGGTTCAACTGGTTGTAAGGGACCCGGTGTTTGTGTGTGTTTAGGATGCCTAAACAATTCAGCCAGAAAAACAGGGTGATCAAAGAAAGCCTTAGCTGCTCTTGGCCACTGCTAGTACATCAGAAGCATTTATGAGCTTATTCATCCCTTCATTGCCCCAGATAGGTCTGGGAGGGGTGCATGCTTGTACAGGGTAGGGGGCAGTGTGTGGCCCACTAGGTGGGGCAGGATGTCGGAGTGTCAGCTGTCTGCAATCGGGAGAGACAGGACTAACCACTCCCACTGGAGGGACAGCTGTACCTTATTTGGTCTGTGTGGAATGGCAAGGGTACCATATCACCCTGAACTATGCACGCACAGTTCAGACAGTAGCAGGATGTGGTCTCACACTGTGTCCTGAATGCTGGGCAATTACCATCATTAGCCACTGGATCTTAACACACATTCATTTATCAAAATATTGCCACAGATTGATAATTTGCTAGCGGTTTGTCATCACACGGTAACAGTGTGCTCCTGTATCCTTACGATTAATTCACATTAGCAATAGTTTGTTGCCAACCCAACCCAGTACAACACACATACAATAAACACACTGCCAGAAAGATGGCGTTAAGAATTTAGTAAATATGGCAAACCTTTACTAGGTATAAGATGAAAAATTCTTGATACAGATTTGAACAGATGAACATATAGTAAACAAATGTCGCTAGTTAAATGACCCTAGCACATAATACTTTTAAAGAATGGACTTCTAGGGGTATTAAAGGAGGATGGGTCACTGTTGCAAGTAGTCAAAAATAGCTTACACAAGGAATGGCAGACATGACAACATATCATCCTCAAGGTTAAACATTATTTGCAGAAACAAATATAGGAACAACCAAAACAAAAACACTCCAGAAATATACTAAAAAGAATTTTATGAATATGCTACAACATTAGAAACAATGACAAACTACAAATATGTTTATAACCAAATTGAGGTCCTACTTGATCAACTCTATTCCAGTAATTTCAACATCGTATTCACAGTGCTTCATCCCATCCTCCTCTTGCAATCCTAGCTGTACACATGCCTCGGTCATTACACCACATCTCATGATCAGTTTATGACTGTAGGGTACATGGATTACACACATTTATTAGATTTTATCTAGCCTCATCATTTAGAACCCTATTTAATCCTGACAGAGTAAATCACATCATCTGCAGGTCGTTCTGATTTCTACAGAAATCAGTGGTATCGTCCGGAACAATGAAAGTGATGACCCTGATCTAATCACACGGTTAAACAGGAGATTGACAGTGAGGTCAAGACTACTGTGTGGGTGGGAGGGTGGTGGTGCTGTGGACGTTCGGCTCGTCATTGTTTTCGGCTGGGTGGTTTTGGGCGGTGGTTGTGGGAGGGTTGTGCAGGGGAAAGGGGAAGTTCTGCTGATGGAGCGAGTGAGATGAAGAAGCTGCTGCTGGGTTGGAGGATGGGAGGTGTTGCATCGAGTGACCCGCTGTGGTTTGTTGTGCCTGATTGGTTGAAGGTGGTGAATATGAAGGTGACTGCTGTTGGCAGTTTTGTTTTGACTGTGTCTGGGATGGAAGCTCAGTTTGGACTGCGGGGGCACCGAGCTGATTGAGTTCAACACTCGGGCTGGCAGGGCTGCCAGGGTCACAGTCTGTGTTTGACAGCTTGGGACCTGGATCCTGTGTTTCTCGCCTGCTGCCCCCCCTGCTGGATGAGTCTGTAGAGGTGCACTCTGGTCTCTGTTGACCAGATGTGGCCTCTAAAGGTGTGTGCACTTTGAGTTGTGGAGATATGGTGTAAATTGTACTGGTCTCTTTTGATTGTAGCTGTGGTGGTTTGTCATCTGGTCCTCTTCCTGTGTTCAACTCAGTGTGTCTCTCGTCCTGCCTGCTGAGCTCTTTATATGTGTTTTCTCCCTCGCTACTGGTGTGTGCTGGTGTTTTGTCTGTGATTGTTTCTGTTGCATTGGTCTGAGCTAGCATCTGGACTGTGTCTGGTTCTGCTCCAGTATTTGTGGGGTTCCTCTGAGTTTTGTCTGTGAGCGCCCTCTGCCTGCAAATGGAAGCCATAGCCTTCACCCAGGGATGCAGCAAGGTCTGCTCCGCTGTCAGCCTCACTGTGGGATCTGGCTGAATTAGAGCTCTGACAAGGCCTCTGGCTTCTGCAAACAAACAGAATAAGAAGCAGATTATTTCTTTATATGTTTGTATGTTCAGGCATTTGCAACACACTTTGTTTTTCTGTACTTCTCACCTTCTGAGATGGGGTCCCAGTAGGGGGACAGGAAATTGAGTTGTCCCTGTTTTATTAGCTGGAACAGCTCTTCCTGGTCCCGATCCCGGCTGCGAAATGGGGGGAATCCACACAGCAGGACATAGAGAATAACACCCAGAGCCCATACATCCACTGAAACACCATAACCTGTTGGGTCAAATCACAGTCTGTTTTGAAACTAGAAAATATTACTCTAATTTATATTGGAAATTGAAAAAAAAAAAAAAAAAAAGTGTCAGGAAGAATTTTAAAATAAAAAAACACCTGTAATTATTGATGTAAATACAGATTTTAAAGTGAAAAGGAATGTAACGCAGTGATTTATAATGCAGCAAACATCACTAACCTGTCTCATGGAGAATCTCTGGGGCTACATACGTGGGTGTGCCACATATGGTGAAGACTGGTTCAGTCACAACCATGGCAAGACCAAAGTCTCCCAGCTTCAGCCTGCAGATGCCAGCAGCCACATACTCTATCTGAGAGAGAACAAGAAAAACAAGATAGAGAGGCAGGCACAGAGGCAGAGTTGAGACTATACTTTTAAATTTCTTCCTTCAAACTTCAACTTCAACTGTCTCCAAGGACACCCACATAGAAACTGGTGCTGCTACTGTTACTGCACTTTTGGTTTTGCTAAATATTGACCTCAGTGTATATAAAGAGCTATTATAGCTCTAGATCAACTTCAATATCATGAATTCTACTGGTATGACAACACAACAGTGTGGCAGAGTGATGTGTTAGGCCAGGCAAACTATTAAAAAAAGAAGCCAGAGAGAAAATGAATAAAAGTTGAATATATTCTGATTGTTATCACCTTGAATTACACTATTAAGAAAAAAGAACATAGCGAACAAATAACGATAGACTATAGAATTTGATTTACTGTTCAAATAGAAAAGAGTGTCTTTCTTTTAAGTCCTTTAAGTTTTTTGGAGGTAGGGTATCATTAGACAAAGAAATAAATTGTTAATTAATTTCTTTTTTTCTAAACATTAAAGCCACTGTGTGTAGAATAAAACAAATCGTTCTCCCTGGTGGCAATATCAAAAAAAGCTTGTCTTAACTTTTAACAGATGCAAAAATCACATTGAAATTCACACGTAATTCTTAAATCACACTAACGCTGACACTCACCAGTAGGTTTTCTGGTTTGAGGTCTCTGTGGACGATACTTTTGCAGTGGATGTAATTCAGTGCTTCACTCACATCTGACACCATCAGTCCCGCCTCTGCCTCTGAAAACTTCCCCCTCTCACTGATGGCCTCAAACAGATCCCCCCCGCTCACCAGCTCCATCACCAGATAGGAGTGAGTACGTGTGTGGTGGTGCGCAAACAGCCGCACTATGCGAGGGTGACAGAGGCTGCCCAGAAGGCTCAGCTCGTTCTGCATCATGTGCTCTCGACCAATCAGCTTGGAGCGTTCGACAATCTTCACGGCAAGGGTTTGCCCATTGTGCCGACGCCGGCACTCTCGCACTACCGCAAAGTTGCCATCTCCAACCACACGTCCAATATCATAGCAACGTTCAACATCTGCCATGGTGACATCACGGCCGTCCGAGGGAAGGTCAAAGGTTGTCCTCTGCTGTATGTCCTTGTGTCTGTGACCCACATCTGGAAGTGGATCTGAAAGTTGCAGCTGGGCAACACTCTCCTCCTCATCTCTGCTGATTGAAGGAGGAGGTGGAGGGGTGATATGAACGCACAATTTCCTCACTTCCTGTTCTGTGTAAGAACTTCCTTTTTGCTTCCTCGACACAGGAGGAAGTGGGACCCTCCCTGACAGTGGATTGAGCCGTTCTGGACCCTGATGTTTAGCTGTCCTTGCTAAGCAGTTCTCACACAGTGTAGGAGAGGGTATGTATGCTTCTCTAAGAGCTTCCTCATGTTTAAATGGACCAATGACAGAAGGCTGTCGCTCTCTTACCTCACCCCTCACACGCAGTCTCTGCAGGTGGTTGGGGAGGTGAGCAGGTTTTCGGCATGAATTCTTTTTATGACTCTTCTGACCATCTGAGTTATAATCTTCAGGCTGGTGTGTGTCTATGTGTTGAGGCGGCTGTGTCATTGTGTGTTTGTTAGTATGATGTGTATTTGTGTCCTGGTGTGTCTCTTGGTTAGCGCGTGACTCGCCGTTGTCCGTCCCCTCACTGTATCCGCTGTCGGCCTTAGCTGCTTTGTCTGGCGCCGGACGAAGTCTTTTCTCCCAGGCCCGCAGCGCATCAGTCCGGTAGTGGGAATGATCTGGAAACAGCTCCTCCAGGGCTTCCTGCACACTGCTCAGCTCTGGACGAGCCTTCCCCAGCGCCAGAAAGGCCACCTCGCCTCGGAAGAAATCACATATACCTTTTACCTACGAAGGAAGGAGAAAGAATGTCAATTTAAGACCAGATGTGGACCACAAGACAATTTCATATAATCAGACATGTTTAGAATTAAATGTTACATCCAGGTCCCTAAATTTTCTCACAATGCTGCAAATTTAAAGTATAGAAACTGAAATTTTTTTTTTAATATAAAAGAAACCTGCAGCACACAGAGTTCCAGGAAAGGTTAACAAATTATTATTTTTTCTTAATAGTTTAATGTGACAGAGGAATACAATCTCAAGCGGCATCACTTCTAAACATGCAAGTATGACAGCAGAAAGACTAGAGGAGGAGACGAATTGCTCTGCCTCAGAGTGTATATATATAGTTTTTTCTCCCCACAAAGTGTTAAAGTGTTTCCTCCATGAGAGAACAACCTGGCCAGTGGCAGACTTTGATTTTGAGAACCGTTATTTACGAGCCTAGCAGCATCATTGATTGCAAGTTGGAAGAGCAACATTTCTAAATCCTCATTGGCATAGTGTCAACCCTTTATTTCTGCTTCCTGTGTTGTCCTTTGAAGTATTTTCCCCCACTGGGGGTGGACTGAAGATCAGTGCATTAGGTGTGGTAAACCCAACACTGGATTAGCAACTGGGCGAAATGGGACAAAACCCTGGGGCCCCAGTAACTTCAGGAACCTCGAAATCTTTTGGTCTGCCGTGTTTCAACTTGTTGGAGCTAATTTGATTGAACATTTGCATGCCCTGTCATGAAGAGGGTCACGGTCAAAATCTAGTTTCAAGACCCTAATTTGTTTCAGTCCTGCCACCCCACAGCTAACCTGGGGAGGATGTGGAAGGAATGTGGGAGTAGTTAATTGCCTATCAGTGCTTTTTTTCCCCACGGGGCTCCCTAGCAGGTTAATGTGGCCTGGTTGAGCCTCACCTCTCGTGCATGGGTCGTGTACAGGCGTGTGACTCTGGCTCTGTGCCAGCGAGGAAACCCCAATGCCTCAGAGATATCCAATAGCAGCTGCTCGAAGGACACCACACCTCTACGGTTCAAGAGGACCGTTACCTTGAAAACAGAGAAAGCTAGGACAGTTAAGTTAAGCAATGCCTTCCCATGTAAATTGTGCTCTTAGCTGTTGATAATTTGGTACCCCCCCTTTTTTTTTTATAAAGAAAGGTTTGTAAGCTGTAACTAAAAGCTTTATTAATGGTTAGTAAATAATTTACTAATGTTATATTGATCTGGTTTAAGCTATTAATGAAAACAGCAGTTAGGTTGCTAGGTTGTGAAAAATCCCTGCCTGGTTTAGGGTGATCCGTTGTCTTTTTTAGCTCTTAAGTTAATCAGGAAAACCCCTCTAATGAACTGCCAAACTACAAAACACCTACAACAAAATCCATTTATTAACAACTTATTAATATTTATAAATAACCACAAGATTGATGGCTTATTAGAAAGTGAAAACCCTACAAGGACTTATCAATGTGTTACAAACTTTGAAAACTACTTAATTAACAAAGAGAACAGATAAACATCTCTCAACCCAAATTTTGTCATTAACACCTTATAACTAATCCATGAGGTCTTGGTAAAATATTTATTAACCATTGATGAAGTCACTAGTTACAAACCCTTTATGAATGGTGCCTTATTTTAAAGTGTTACCAAAAATGGTAAATATTGTGTTCACCTTGCGTAGTGTACTTTGACCACAGGGGCGGACGATGGTGACCAGATGGGGCCTCTCGCCGCTCTCCTCTGCATGGCGGGTATGGAAGAGAGGGAGGTGAGGAGGAGGAGGGAAGTGGGGCCTGTGAACCTGTCCCACAGGTTGGGAGTGAATGGGCCGTGACTGGGGTGCGCCGCCACCACGCTTCAGCAAGGGGGCCGGAGGAGCTGAAGCAGGGGGAGAGGAGGACAGGGATGGAAGAACAAAGACAGAAAGCAAGAGTTGGATTATGGAAAGTGTACTAATAAGTAACACAACACCGGTTTTCTCATTCTGTGTTAGTGTGCGTGAAAACAAATCCGGCTGATCAGATTTGAGTGTTTTCCATCACATGGAGCGCAAGGGCCATTTGAGATTCTTCAAGCACCTTGCCCCACCTGCTGAATTATTTAGGCTTCCTTAAATCATGCAAACCCACCCACACCCACACTCACACACACACAACTTAACAAAAGCTTGCTTGACCTGGTTAGGGCTCTGCTGAATCTGCATGATTAATGAAGCATTAGAGATATTCAGCATCTTTGACGTTTCACTTTCTGGCACTGAGGGAGACACTGAGATGTTATCAGTCCAGTCAGTGGGGGGGTTAGTTTTTCGCTTTGTTTCCAGATGCAGAACAACAGACAGAAACACAAGACCCTATACCTCTAACATGACCCAGCCACCCCTTTTAACAAGACACCGCCGGCCCCCTGAGAGTGAGCAGTAGCACACACATTCACAAGTACACACACTAAACAATAAAAGCACAGTGTACAGTTCAGCTTAAGATTCTCATAAAGAGCCAGCTGTGGCTAGGCAAGAAAGACTGAATCAGCTCTTTCTTGGGGGTCCTTGGAGGGTCTTTGTGTGTGTGTGTGTGTGTGTGTATTTTGGGGGGGCAAGGGTGGAATAAGGGATAGATGATAATTTCAGGACCCTTTGTATAGTGATAAAGTGTCACGTAAATCAGAAAATTTGAATTTTTTCACAGGTCAGATGGAGACGCAATCTTTAAAAAGTTATTGTTTGTCTAGTTAAGGTAGCCTATACAGACAATTATCGTACAGACAATTTAGCCATTTTTAAAGCCAATTTTAAAAGACATAATAGTAGCTACCTATTTATAACAGAGAGCCTTGGCTGTATTTAAACTGCAGGCTAATTAAAATCATTTCACTCCGACCATCGACTCACCTGCAGCTCTCCATTTAGCGTTACGTGCCGCTTCGCATCCGTACCGGGCTCTCTGAGAGGGCGTCATGACTTTCTAAAACAAGTCGGCGACATTTACTTCTCTTTTATTTCCCAATAAGTTGCTTTGGTCGTGCCCCCAGCTGTTATCTTCCAGGAAAGGTAACGGTAGGCGCCGGGAGATGACCGGACCCGGTGTAGCTACTGCGGTTGCCATGGACACACGTCAAGCTGGACTTCTGCAGGAAAAGAAATACCGGAAGCTGGGCGATTATGCCATCAAAATAAAATATTTTTAATAAATTAATATATGCTGTGAGTGGCCTATCTACAGAGTAGCATAGTCCTTCCATGTTAAAGACGTGGTTTCATCTACGTTAGAAGCTCATTAAAACTACAATTTTCCCTTATCTGGTTACTTTAGGCTAAATGGCCAGCGAAGATCCGCAAAGATATTTTATTTTGAACGTCCTGACCGGAACTCTTCTGTTTAACTTTGCTTAACTTGAAAGTGATGAGAGGAGTTCAAGGGGCTCATTTGTAAACAGTGTGTACATACAAAACAGGGCTGGAAACGTGCGCCACTTCCCAAGCAAAGGTGATCTATAAAAAACAAACTTGACGGAAGAATGTACGGTCGTCCACGTAAACTCTGAACCATGCCTACGCACATTAATTGGAGAAATTAGATGAAACGGTTTGAAATGAATAGGCCTACTACTGTGTAAAATAAATAGAAATAGGCCTATTACCTATAAGTATTATAGGCTTAAAGCCTCTCTGAATAATCAAACACCTCTTTGATTCATTTTCCCTCAAGTTCACAAAAAAACACAATTTAAGATCATTTGCAGTGCACAAAAAGAACCAGATTTGGAATAATAAACACAAGTTTCTGCAAAGAAACGCCTCAAATAGCCTATGTTGTAGCCTACAGTTTAATCAGGAATCACATTAATTAGTACTTGCATGCAGTGCAATTTATTCTCATAAATAAGGTGAACAGGAGGGCAAATTAGCTACATTTAAATTAATGCTGCTGTCAAGTGCATAGTTTCATGTAGCCTATTGTTATTGATCACATATTCTTTGCCTTATCGTCAAATGCTGTGCGCCAGGGTGTGGATGTGGTGCGCTGCTTGTGAAGATATGTTTGGGAAACATAACACTATTTTATTAAGTAAATCTTTCAGCTTATGTCATTTAGCCTACAAGTCATATTTCTTTCAACTCATTGGTAGCCTTGTTAAGTGAGTGAAGTGTTTGTATAGCCTAAATAAAAGTTTAAACATAAGCGGAATGCATTTGGTTTACTATCTTTTCAAAAGGGGATTCCAAATTGGTACCTGGCTCATCCCGTCTTGCTTGTGTTTCACCCTCCAGTCAGCGACATCACTACTCAAGAGGGACGCCCCTTCCTGCAGATCGGTTATAAAGGGGTGGAGCTCCGGCGCCCAAACTTGCGTTAAAGTGCGTTTAACAACATGCTTTAACTTCACCAGAAGGAACGTCAGTGTCACATTGACTTAAATTTCGTTTTTTAGCTTTTCATCCTTTTCTTTATGCAGTCGGTACGTAGCTATTAATGTTAATGAGGGGCGTTTCACTGGCCATATGGACGTTTAAAGCGTCGGACAAGGACCGACTCCCTCACATGCGCCACATTTAAATTGACTGCGATTTCAAGAGGAAACTTGTTTACAAATGTAAACACGCACGGTTTTATAAGTATTATTTTTTGGTGTATGCCAGTTTGGCTTTTAGGTGCTGGTAGGCTACACTTTTAGTGAGGATTTGACGCACAGTTTTTTATTTATTATGCTGAATGTTTGTTTTTTTCAGAAAAGCGATAGCCCACCGTTATGTTAAGGCTGTACCCATAGCCTACATAGGCTAATAAAATACCTCTTATCGGTAGTCGCGCTTTTAAGAGAAGGTGACGAAGAAAACCAAATTTACCAGTTTCGCATGTGGCCTACCGATGGGACTTTTTTGGCCCAAGAGGCACAAAAACAACAACTCTAATGTGTTTAGCCAATTAGGTATACTGACTGTAAAAAACTTCCAAGTAGGCTATTTTTGTAATGCTGAGGTAAAGAGTTCAAATTACCCAATGCAACCTCAGCCTCCTAAATGTATCACTAGCAATCAAAAGGTTTTGAAAATGTTAGAAAATGAATCTCACTTTGGATAGGCTATAAAGGCTTCACAGCTATCGGCACATTGCCTATAGCCTATATAAATGCGAAATCAAATGACATCATTAAATCTAATATTTTTATAACTTAGATAGGTAGGCAAACTTTGATGGCCTATGGCACTCTTCCCCAATCTGAGGGTTGGGACCCCCACCATTGGTTGTTAGACGATTTTGAGGTACCTTGAGCTGCGATGATTAATGGATTAGTTGTCGACCATTAACTAGGCCTATTTGGATAATAGATTAATTGGTTTAAGTAATTTTTAAAAATGTGAATATGTTCTGGTTTCTCTACTCCTCTATGACAGTAAACTGGATATAGGCTATTTAGGTTGTTAACAGAACAAGACATCTAACATTTTTCACCATTTTCTGACATTTTACAGACCTAACAACTAATTGATTAATCTAGAAAATAATCATCAGTTGCAGCCCTAGCCTTGCGATCATCAACAGCAGAGGAAAGCATCAAAACACATTTCTGCTACATAGACTTTCCTCCAATATTTGCTTTATTTTTGTAAATTACTGGATTATTTTACTTTATCAAGACTTACCTTATTCTAATAAAAGCCTCATTTGCTTAACTGGATATAACTAGTAAACATATAGCCTATGCAACCACCGACGCAGAGTTTTAGCTTGATTTTAAGGTCTACACTGACCATGTAATTGCATGTCATCTCTCTCTCCCTTCATTTCCTGTCAACTACTGTCACTGTTTAATAAAGTTTTTTTTTAAATGCAGTAAAATGACTTTAAAAGAATAAGCCTTACAAACGTGGCCTATTATTTGTGTGTATTTGTATAAAGTAAACTCATCAGATTGTTAGAACTTGCAAATTCACAGAAACAAAAAGTCCCCTTGTTGAAAACTAGAGAAAATGTAGGAGAGGAGAAATGTGTTCTCACACAAAACCATTTGTACCAAAATGACTGGAAGAAAGTTATGGTGTAAAATTGCACTGACAGAGGGGGGAGAGGGACCGCCAGTCTTAGGGGCAGTTTCCATAGTTTCACTGATGGAATCCAATGCTCTGCCACACACACACACACACACACACACACACACACACACACACACACACACACACAGTGTCCAGTTGATCTTTTAATGCACTGCCCCCCAAGGCTCTGTCTCCAAGGAAACTGTTAATATTGGATCAGGAACAACAACTCCTGTTCCGGCTTCTTGTCCTGGACGCACCACTGTTCATCCAAAATCATTTATTTATTTTCCCCTTATAGTTTAATGTGTGTTTCCTTCTGTGTTCTTCACCTTTATTACAGAGTGATAGGCAGCTCAGAGAAAGCAAGGGTAGAGAGACCGGCGATGAAGTGAGTCCCCAGTCCCTAGTTGTGCAATATGTAGGCTATTGGGGTTTTGCAATATGTTAGTCGGCCAATACATAGACTATTTGGGTTGTGCAATATGTTAGTTAAGCAATACACAAGCTATTGGATTGTTCATTGTGCAAGGGCTGTGCTACGTTTGCGGGGAATGCAGCTGACAGGGATGTTCAATCAAAAACTGCCATTGGAAGAAGGAGTTAATGTGCTTATTATATGTACCTGTACCTTATCTGATCTTATCTTATCCCAGCTGGACTTAAACAGAAGACATTGTGATGACATAGTCAGGACCTTAAACCCATAGGCCACCAGTGAACCATATTTATTCATCTTTTTAGATTGTGGTAAAAACAAGTTGGCCTCCTGGCGGATTAATGTTACTTATTTCTTTTATATTATTTTATGTGTTTTCAGGTAATTTAGTATTATTTCAGGTTTTAAAGGTTTCTCACTACATGGTCATAATAGCACTGATTCTGATTTTGGGTTGAAAACTTGACAAAACAATATTTTAGTTTAAAGGTATTGGTGGTGGTAAGTTTAATGCTGCAGTATCTCGCCCATGACTGCCAAATCATTAAGGCTCCTGTACTACCAGGAGGTAAACAAACTAATGGTGCACTACTAGAGTCTGGCCAGCAGAGGAGGCAAGTGTATCTACCCTGTGTCCCAGCTGAGAGAGAGGAGTTGCACCCCCAGACATCATGATGAACTAGGACAGGGCCAAGTATTTCAGAACTACCCAGCTGGATAAACATGGGTAAATTCATCATTTTATTTTGATTTATATTTTGAGCTTAAGTTGTAAAATCCCTTAGTGACACCACAGAAATTCAAAAGAAGAGGAATTGAAATCTGACTCAATGTGGTGTCCTTGACTAACTGTAACTGTTTTCTTTTTCTCTTTTTCAATTTCGATTTACGGAAAATATCAAGAAATGCATTCTTCTGTAGAGGTAACACAAAACACACACGCACATAAACACTATAATTAGTACCACTAAATAACACTTTATTGAGGGGTTAATAAGTTGCTTGATAAATAATTTACTAATGCTTTATAAATCACCTTAATTACTTTTGGTTTGACTGGTTTGATATACTTCTCTTTAGCTATTTAATTCATCATGAAGCCCCACTGCAATGGACTGTTTGACCACAAACCTTGTGGATTGTTGTAAAAACCCTTTATTAAGGACTTATTAACATTTAAAACCACAGTTCTTTATATGTTATTAGCCCAATAACCATTAATAAATCCATTAGTTACATCTTACATACTGTCTACCATTGATTATGTAATCTGAGCCATGCAGAGGCATGTTGTTGAAGCTTTCACCATTAATATGATTGACGTTATGTCTTGTTTCCTGAGCTCCATGTGTAGAAGGGAGTGAGAATGAATGCAGAGTGGTGCAGCCAGCAATGTAGAGAGATAAGCTGCAGAATGAATGACAGAACGAATGAGTGTGTGTTAGAGAAGGGAGTGGTAATCTCCAGATGTTTAGTTGTATTATTCACACAGTCACACACAGATGCACAGGAAAGCCTTAAGAAAGCTGGAAGAAACACCATCATTCCTGGGTTTATGGCGTTTCCTCTCTTTCCTTAGCTGTTCTGGGATTTAAACCTGTTCCAGGTCTACCAGCTTTCACAGACACACACATAAAGATGCCTGTGTGGATAAAGTCGTGTTTGTTAAGGCCAAACAGAGGCC